GAGCAAAGGAGATCATGCAATACAATAATGGGAGGCAAGGATGGGAACGGAAATGGGAGTACAAGATGAATCAGTTGATTGTGTTATTTGGTTGACAGGAACATTAACACTGACACTTATTAACATACATTAAGGCACGATAATATTTCTTATTACAACTATTTGAATTATTGGTTGTATATTAAGACAACAATTCAAGAAAACAAAAATGATTGAATTAAACAATTGATATCTCGAAGTTTCTCGGAATTCCCGACAATGCATACTTTAAATTGACCTTAATCTTTTCAGTGGCACAAAGATGGCGCTGCTAACCACTCTGAATCAGAATAGCCTATAATACATCATGATTTCTTACATTTCCATAGTTCTCGAAATTCGGACATTCATCCAATGGATACCATTAATTTACTACTTTGATCTAAAGATTTGTAATTCTGTCGAGAATTCCCTTAAAGAAACTTGACTTCTTCCTGTAGCGGGATTGTCTGTTTCACCATTTAGGAATCAGTGACATTTAGTCTCCGCTTTGATCTTTTGTTGCAAGATTTTACTTTAATGGATGTTAATAAGCAAAATCTTTATTTATGTAGATCATCCCCTTCATTTTGTTTGATTTTTATCTTAGAATTATTAAACTAATTAGAATTCATCCTTCTTTTGTTTCATTCATCAAATCGCTCAAAAAATTGTAAATCAAATGGTTAAAATATCACTCCATAAAATGCTACATTGTTTAATGTTCAAAATTCATGATATGTTATGCCAAACTTATAAATTTCTCCACTCAAATAAATCTTTATCCATATTTAGACAGGTTTCATTTTCCCATTCTTTCTTAGCCTTCCTTTTTCATTGATTTTACTGGATGATGAACAATGATTATTTACAACATTTTAAATTTCATTCTAGTCATTTCATTTTCTCTCAAAAGCATTTAATGCCTTTCTCCTATCATTATAACAAGAACAAAAAACGCCAATTGCAATTTCATTTTTTCATGTTCGATAAATTCACGCGAACTTTTCATCAAAACTTCGTATCATTTAGAGCAAATAATGTGACGAAGAATTTTTTGTTCATTTAATAGGATTAGCATTGTGTGATGTTAAAATCTATCTAATAATATTAAAACGGCAAATTGAAGTGACGGAAAAAATTTTTAAGTTTAATATCGAATGAGTCATTCATCAAAGTCTGAATTAGAAAAAAGAAATGAAAATCGAGAAAATCGAGAGTTGAACGAACTTTCTCAGTTAATGCCAGCTTTTGTAACTATAATGCTGAATGGAAAAAATTTTTAATATCCTAACAGAATATCAAAAACGTTGAACTGATATATTATCGAAAAATCTCTCAGCTTTTACTTTTACTAGCAATACTGCCAGATAGGGTAGTTATTTCTAATAAGGGTAAAAAGCTGAGATATTTTTCGATAAGATTTCAGTTCAAAGTTTTTTTAACTCTAGTAGGATATTAAAATGAGCAATGAAATTCAACCAAAAGGACAAACAGTAAGTTTTTGTTTATTACTTTTTTGCAGAATTATTTTGTTAATTTCTTTCTTCAAATTAAAATCCCTTTATTTCTCCAAACTTGATCATTTTGTTGAATCTAAATCAATCAGATTATTTAAGTCTATTAAACTTTAATCATACGTTTCAACAATTGGAGTGAGAAGAAAACACAAAGCGATAAAGTTATTGATAAATATAGTTTACAATTACTGATAAAATCATTTGAGAAGGATCGATTTCCAGTTGTTGCCAATTTAACAGACGAGTTTGATGGAAAAAAAAATGCTTTTCTTTAATTGAAAAAAGGCATTATAAACTTTTTTCTGAAGACGTTTGAAACCTATATAGCGTGAAACTGTGCTGACATCAAACAGAATTAGTTCTGATAAATCGTTCCTTTTTCTCACATTTCGATTTTTATATTTGTTCAAATTTTATTTAACAGAGATGCGAATGACTCTTGGAAATTTTTGTAAAATCATTAATATTAAATACATTAAATATTGAGTGTCAGCTAAGTTGTTTAATAGTATTTGAAGTGAAAATGTCAAGATGTTTCATTTGAAATTAATTTAAAATCTGGGTACGAAGAGTTTAAATGAGTGTAAAATCTAGCAAATGCAATGGTGAACATATATTGACTTTAAGAAAACAGAATTTAAAATAGTTTTTTTATAACTTATTAAATCATTACTAATTTCTAGCTTATTTTATGGTGCTAACTACCTGATAGGGACGCTAATATTCGTATTATGTCATTCATATTACATTTTATATCATCTTATGTTAATTTGCTCCGCAACATTTTTTTAAATCACAAAATAACTTACTAAAGATTGGACTAATAGGAAGGAAGCTTAATCGTACCGCAGTCAGATCTTCTCCCTTCTTAATAAAAAATGACAACAATTGCGCTGACGTCTTATACTCAATTGAATATCTATACGTGTAAAATTTAAAAAAATTTTATTTGAAGGTAACTGAGCCATTTGCGATGTTGAAATAAGTGGATTGATCACGTTGAAGAATTACGCTATGGGTGATGGGCCATGCTCAAATCTTACTTATCCGGCATTCAATATCACTGAATACGTCTTTCTCACGTTTGGAGAACGTTGCCTTCCGGTAAAAAATGAACAAAAGCTCAAAATAATAAGTGAAATCTAAGAATGTCTCTCATTTTGTTTATAAGATTTCAGTCATTTTATTTTTCAGTATTCGATTGTTCTGCCGACGGTTACTTTTTACACTGTAATATTTGTGGCGGGTATATTCGGTAATGTTTGCACGTGTGTTGTGATTGCAAAATGTTCATTTATGCATAATACCACAAATTATTATTTATTTAGCTTGGCAGTTTCCGATCTGCTCATCTTACTCGTTGGTTTGTTTATCAGTTATTGTGTTAGTAATTCATTGTAACCGAATTTTGATTCTTACTCAATGCTCGATGATATTTTTAGGTTTACCAATGGAACTTTATGATGTATTAGGCAGCACATATCCTTATAAATTTGGTACAGTTGTATGCAAAGTAAGAGCATTCTTGATCGAATTTACATCATATGCATCAATTTTTATCATAGCAGCATTTACAATGGAACGATGGCTCGCTATTTGATAGGCCTTGCATGGCACTTTAAAAATTATCGGAATGAGTAGCTTTAATGGATTTGAGGAATAGATATTAGCATCTATACATAGAATTGTAAATTCAAAAGTACCATTCAGTAAATTCAAAAGTACCAGTAATAGCATGTGTTATATGCGTTATTTTAGTCCTATTGTGATATTTCTAATTTCGGAGAATAGTAATTTTTTATTTATAAAACTGATCAGATAATTTCAATTTCAAAATTTCGGTTTTCCGCTGCAAATCCTAAATGCTTCATCAATTTCTCGAGCTTCTAAGGTAATTCCTGTAGCATGGTCTACTGCCTTTATTGCTGCACTTCCCATGGCTTTTGTCGTGAAAGTTAATCGACTTGCTTTATTTCTTTCTGCTATCAACAGTTCATGGATTCATTTGGTGTTTAGCGAATTTTAAAATTTATTTTAATGTAATGTATTCCCAAAAAAAGTTTTAAGCTTCACTTTGTACTGGTTCTAACTGTTTCAGGTATCAAATGATGGACAATTATAAATACCGACTTTTGTGTAATGGACGTGAATAATCCGGAAGCTCAAAAGTTTTTGATTTATTTTACCTTTACAATGTTTTTCTTATTACCCGGTGAGAAAATTTCAAAATTTCTTTGACAGATTAATAAGAGTTACTAATGTCTTATTCATTTCTAACAGAGTTTTTAGATTTTTAGATAACTATTTGAACTTTTCTTCAATAAGTTCAACAGATTTATTAATCTATTAAGATTCTTTAAGTTTTAAAATCTTATTTTGAAATCTTAGTTTCGACATAAATTATTGGTTAAGTCGTTTCTACGAGGCGGATGAGAGCATTTCTGTATTGTAGAATATTTCATAGTAAATAAGAAAATTTTTTCAGTTATTTCTGTTATCTTGAAAGAAAAACACTTCTGATTGAGCTAATTTTGAGCAATCTTGATAATAATTGCACATATGTTGATCGTTATAAAACTACGACGAAAGGATGAATATTTAAATAGCAATGGACAATATCATTTATAGGTAAATCGGCAACGCAGCAGACAAATTCGATTATCAAAATGCTAGGTATAGTTCAAATTGATTTTTTTTTGTTTTACCGAAGTCGAAAGCAAAGAAGTCGTAGAGGAATAATAAAAGTGAAGAAACAAAGAGGACTGTGTAGAAAGTTAAAATCTGTAATTTTTAAATTTTTGTCGAAAATTTCTGAACAAAAAACGATCTAATTGTAAAATACCATGATTATTAAAAATTATTAGCTATTCAACAGCTCACATGAAATGCAAAATTTCAGTAGGTAAAATATACAATTTACATGTTAGAATGCATTGTGAACCAGAAAGTTGCAAAAATATTCAAGGCATTCACCAAGTTATCACCGAATCATTCGCTACAAATGTGGCTTAGTTTTAAATTTATGGTGATTTAAAGTTTATGAATGAATATTATAAACCTACAGAGGTTTCATAGTTAGTGAATAGATAAAAGGATTAATAAAGATAATACATTTGCATTAAAGACGCATATTTTATGAACAGTAATGAATGTGCATTAAGATAGCACTATCTTCTTAAATCGACTTGTCAGGTCGATTCAAAAGTACAATGCTATAAAAATCTGAGATCATAGAAATAGAATGATAGAAAAACTAAGTTAAAAGTAATGGAAGACTTTTTCAAAGCAACGAATAGTATTGACAAAGTCCGAAACGCCAAAATCCAAATTTTTGTTTTCCGTAACAGATTTTCAGCATCGATAGTAGCAGTATTCTTCTTATCATGGTTGTCATTTCACGTGCAGCGCTTGTTATCAATATTTATGTTTGAAAAAAAAGATGACAACGATGGTATTCTGCACACTATTTTCATCTTAGTTTTTTATACATCAGGTATTGATGATATTTGAAGTTTAAATTTGTTTCATGGCAGTAAGTTCGAAGTAATTATATAAATAGAGCTTTTCTGAATTCAAGTGATTTTTTTACTAAAATATTTAAATCGTCATTTACTTTAAAATAAATTAAAGAAGAAATGTTTAGGTTGCTGTTACTATTCAAATTCCGCTTGCAATCCCATTCTATATAGTATTTTTTCCAAAAACTATCGGCGAGCTTTCCCGCAAATTTTTATTGGTAACAATTTCGAAATATCATTTTTTCAGTAGTCGATGATTTAGTGAGCCGAGATGCTGTATTATAGGTAAAAAGCAATCAGCCCAATTCCTGAGTTATATGGATGCCACTAGCAAGCGAAAACATAACCTGTTTCAGAAGCCAATTATATCCCGGGAAATTTCAAACAGGTATACTGTCATATTTTTTTAAATTAAGGCAACTTACGAAATTGAAAAGCCAATTAACTTGTTATCGACTAACCGATAACCGATTTTGAAAGAATATTATAGATGTCTACTAAGTTCATCAATAAGTAAATTATTAATGATAATTTCGAAGTTGAAGCAAATGTTAGAAAAAAACAAATTTTGTTGTGTCAAATATTAGGGAAATATTCTAGATAAAAGTTCAAAATTTTAATTTCAAAAAGATTTTTCTTATTAAAAAAAGAACCAATGCCTTATTATATTGAGTGATAACTGATTATTTTTGTAGAAAGTTGTTCGATTCATCGTTTTGTCGAACTTTCCTATAACAAATACTAACGATATATCATCTTACTTCCCATCGCTATTATGTGATTATATCATTTGACCGAAGAAAGATCTCATATTTTTTACAACAGTTGCTACCAAACTGGTGAATTGTTCTATTCGCACAAAATTAAAAAGAGTGTAAAACACCAATTAAGAGTGTAAAATATGAGAATTTGTCAAATAAAAAGAAGTATCGTATTCTTGCGAGTTTTTTCGAAATTTGCAAAAGCATATTTTTCTCAGTTAAAAATTTTGGAATCGGACTTTGCACAAAAAAATTATGATTATTATTTGATATTTTATGTCATTCCTATTTACAACAACTTTTTGAATTTCAAATGAAATCATTAATAGGAGCAGTGTGCTCAACAAATCAATGCTTGCAACTGAAACTAGCCAGCAGATAATGCAGATGCTCAATTCTTCGCGCTCGGCCATACATCGAATACCAGTGTTTCAAAAATTAAAACGAATTGAATTATAAATTTTTATTCCAGCTTTGTATTCTCAACTTACCATTCATTGATCGTCTATTGCCTATCATTTTTTCAAATTTTTATGCTTTCGCTTTCAAAATCTCGCCGAACTCTGCAAAAGTGATGGAAATACATTGATTACATCATTAAAAGTGCAATTACTTTTAAGTCAATTCAATAATATACTATAATAATATCCATATATCATGACAAATTATTTGTTAGAGGAGGTTCAGACGGCAGGAGGTACAGTTCTCAAATTACTGTAATATATAGTTTAACAGATACATAATCTGTAAAGCTAAATGATTCCTTTTATTATTAATCTCCAACCACTTACAACTATTACGAATCAGCAAAATTTTATTCAGAAAAGTTGAAACTTTACTTTCATGCATGAAATAACAGTTTAATGAACTTTTTTCTAAAATTTAGAAATGGATCTAATTGATTTTAGACAAATGATGTTTTCCTTGAGTTCTACATGATATGGTTTCCTAAACGAGGAAAACAAAAAGGAAATATGGATGAAAAACATCACTTCCTAGCAATGGAAGCAACATACGACACTAACTTCAAAATCTGCTGCCGATTGGTTCATAACTTTTCTAATTTAATTCTCATAACTTGTATTTTCAATATTAAAACAGAAAAATCAAAAGAAAGCACTCTTGGAAAATGAAGAACGTGACCCATACTAATGCATTACCAGGTTGGTCATGAAATTGATGTAATACCCGCAATCTTTATTAAAAAACTTGTACTGGACTAGAAAACACTACCAATTTGCGCTCATCGCTTCAAGATTCATATCATATAGCATTTTCTCAGAGTTCATCCCAGTCCAGCCTGCAACCCGTTATGTGACATAACGTTGTATCATATTTACTTATACCAATGAATAACTGCAATTCAGATTTCCCATTATAAGAATAACATATTTTTGGCGAAGTTATATATTTCTTATTTATGAATTTGCAACTTGATTTGAACATGCCAATTTATTTTACGCAGTTAATTTCAAAACATAAATCCAAATCTGAAATCATGGAAACTCCAAATGAAACAAAACATTTCGTAAACATACAGTTAGGAGAATCGCACTAAAGAAAATTTGCTGAAAAGTGACTATGAATAATAATAAGAGATAATATCAATCATACACAGCTTTAGGGACGCCTAAACGTCATTTATCCAGTATTTCAGGACCTTCAATTTCTGAAAGCTGCAAACATTGCAGAGAAGCCTGTTAAATATCTTAAAATGTGTCTGCAGAAACGAAAGCAAATTGTTTACATAAACGAAAATTCAGTACAAACATTTCGAATATCCATGATATGAAATCCCTATTATTATATATTTTTTTCTGTTTAGCAACAATATAAGTTTCAAAAACATATTGCGCTCGAAATGTTTGTGGGAGAAATCTCAATCGAAAAAACAACAAGAAAATGTTTGTTACTAAAACGTATATCAAAATTATTCCATTTTGGAACCATTCTGCCGAAAATCTAAAAAAAATGACTGAGAATTCTTTCCAGCTCAGAGATTTTTAATGACAACATATACAATCTGAAATTAAAAAAAGATGAGAACAAAAAAAATCACCAAAACGCTATGCAAAAGCTATACAACTGAAGACTTTGTACAAACACATACAAGAATTCATTATTAATCAAACAAACTAATAAAACTCCACCCTACTGAAGACTGAAAGCATGAAAAGCATAAAAAATTTTTAAAATTGGATAATTTCCTTGCAAAAAAGCCATTTCGATTAAGAAAAGCAGCATTCTTTAATGAAAAATAAATCTTACTAAAAATGGGCTTCATCGAGCCCGTTTACTGCTGCAGCACCCCCAAGCTATTA